GCATCCTAATGATCTTAATAAAGGCTACACATCCTAACAGTAGCAAGGTAGAGCCTACTGGTTCCTTCAGAAAACCCTTGGTAAGGCATTCTTTTGTCGCCATTTTAACAAGACTATCTATTGTGTGACTTATGTCCTTGGATTATTTGGCATAATATGAGATTGACCTTGGCTTTGAATATGAGATTGACCCTGGCTTTGGAAAGAGCAAGGACTAGCTAAGTGATTCCAGAGACCTAAGGACATGATGACAGCTTATGGGGGGCCTTCTGGTAATCATCATCATCATCATCATCATCATCATAATAATGTGGGTCATCTAGCAGTGGGCATTTGTGTGTGTGCGCGCGCGCGCGTGTGTCTAGAGGGCTTACTGTCATATTCTTGTAACAGCTCCACTGCTGTCAAGAGAACTGCTCTGTGTTCTGGATCCCTGATATTTAACTCATCCAAGTCTTCCTCCTCCAGCAGCTTGAAGGTGTCCAGGTCTTCGTATCCATTGAACAGGAAGGTGGGCATGTGTTCCTGTAAGACCAAGCCAGAAGATCAAGGTGAGTCAATGACCCAGGATGAGTATCACTTGTAATACAGTCTGTGCCTCCCAGTCCTCCAGCTTAGTAGGTATGTGTGGCGGGGTTAGGGTTTACTAATTGTGGTCTAAAAGGATATCCATTGAAGACTGTGGCAGATCCCACTTGCTGGTACTGTCACTGTGCCCTGGATATGAACTAATTCCTTTATCACCACATAGCCCACCGGTGGAGAAGACTCCTTTTTCCATTTGTAGAGCTTACTGAAACCCAGATTTGAAAGTCCTGTGAAATTCTCAGGAGCAAGATGTTTTATAAGTTAGAAACCAAAATCTACTTCCTAGATGCTGGGAGTCACAGTGAAGGAAAGGTAAAGATGGTAGGAGTCTCATGGTCTCATGGAGCTGGCTGTGAACAGAAAACACTTGGGTTTGTGTTTACAGCCCTTCCCATAGCAAACTGTGGCTTCATGGAGCTGGCTGTGAACAGAACACTTGGGTTTGTGTTTACAGCCCTTCTCATAGCAAACTGTGATCTAGGGCTTATGCTATAAAATCACCCACAGTGGACGTCAAAGGCTGCATCAGAGTATTGATAACTATATATGATAAGATTCCCTTTCCACGTGACATAGATCACTCAATGCCCTCCGGTGTTCAGTTTACAAACAGAAAAAGGCAACAAGTACAGTGTGTGACAAGAACAGGTGACTGACTTTCAGGTTAATCCGATCTAGGAGATCCTCCACAGATTTGGGCTGGGGTGGTCTTCCTTTCCTCCTCCTCCTGGTGGGGCGTTTGGGCTTCTCTTCTTCCTCGTTTAGCACATCCACATAGATGAACTTGAAGGTACCAACTTTGTTGTTCAATAGGCCCATCCAAGTACCCATGGGTGGTTTGCTGATTATATCAATAATATCTCCTTTCTGTTGCCCAAGGAACAAAGATATTTCCATTAGGTCCATATTTAAGCACGAGTAGTGAAATTAGCAAGATGGGTGGGAAAGGATACAGTCAGAATTTGGGTCGCACACGTTCCCTCCTCCCCTCCCTTGTTTCCTCCTTCCCATCCTCTCTTCTTTCCTTCTTTAAAATTGCCTTGTGTGTGTTTATGTGTGGCATATATACATGTTGGTACAGATGTGTGCACATGTTTGGGGGCCAGAGGCAGATACCCAACATCTTCCACCATATTTTGCTTTCCATCATATTTTTCCAGACAGGGTCTCTCACTGAACCTGGAGTTCATCAACTTGGTACACTGGCTAGCCAGTGAGTTCTAAGAATCCACCTGCCTGTCTCTGCAGCCCCAGAAATGGGTATAAGTGGCATCACCATGCCTGGCTTTTACATGGGTGCTGGGGATCTGAACTCAGGTCCTCATGAATTGACAGAAGACACTTTCCTGACTGAACCATTTTTCTAGCCCCACAAGTCATGGTTCTGAGTGACTGACGCAGAACAGGTCTGAGAGCTTGGCAGAGGCCAGAGAGCTTTTAACAGTGCTAGATGCCACATGGGCCCCATGTCACAACCTTCCCTGTCTTCTGCACTGCCGGGCCAAGTTAGCTGGGGCTGTTACCTCTGTGTTTAGCCAGCCTGCCTGCCCTGGCTTTTGGAACACCTTCATAGTTCTGGAGAAAGAGCTTCCTGCCAGTCACGAGACAGGGAGTCCCCTGCCCTGTGGTCACATCATACACTATATCAAACTTTATCTTTATGCCCCACACAAATATCTCTGTTCCCAGACAGAGGGCAATAATCCCCCTTAGCTGGAGAAAGCACAGAAGCTAGAATAAGAGGGGGATGGCAGTTCTAGAAGGCCCTGGGTCAAAGGGCAGGGCTGCAGAGGAGGTAGGAGCAATAGAGAGCTGGTACACAGCTGCCTCACTCAGCCTTGACCACTGTCTGGTTCCAGTTTATTTTCACTTAAGGGAAATCAGCAGGTTCAAGTGGGGGTCAAGGTGGCCAGAACATAGTCTAGCCTGTGTGGTAAGAGTCCAGAATTCAATGGTGGGGAGGAAAGAAACTCTCTTAAAAAAACTAAAGGGCCTGGGTTAGTCTGTCCAAGACTGAGGGAGAGGCCTACCTTGAGCTTCAGTGAGTCTGAGTCATAGGGACTGGGGGTAAAGTCAGTGTGTACCCGGGCGCGCCCACAGAATGGGCCCCGGTAGGGCAGCTCCTCCTCATCACCATCTTCTGACTTGACACTTTCCCTGTTGCTGGTGGAGGAATCGGTGGTACTCACAGTCTGACCACCTGTGCATGGAGAACAGGAAGAATGGGGTCAATACAGCCTTCCCATGTAGTTAAGTTGAAAAGTATTGACAAAATGCCATATTAAGAAACAAAGGCCCGGGAAGGGAAGCTATGATATGCCACAGTCTTGTCAGGACCAGAGCTGGGCCCAGCACGAGTCCTTTGACTGTTATTCCTAAGCAAGTTCCTAAGTGGACAGGGGCCTCCCAGCACACTATCCTTATGACAGGAGTCCTTGGGACATGAAGACTCACTGCTGGAAGATGCTGCAGTGTTAGACCCTGGCCTAGGACCCCATTTGTACAATACACCTTTTCTCCCAAGTTGTATGGAGGAGAAAACAAACTTAGAGGTCAAGAAGTAAGAGCTTAAAATCCCTCTTCTTCCTTGTCGTGTGACCAACACCAACCATCCTTGACCCTGAAGCAGCTAACGGATTTTGCTATAGGGGCATTTAGAATTCTCTTCCCTTCACCAGCTCCCTTTATTTTGTTGGTCATCTTTGTGTACTTTGTCCTTTGGTTTCTTCTCCCTGTTTTCTAGATCCTTCCACCTCTGAAATGATTTCCCATCTTCTCCAATAAAATTATTACCCTCTCTGTGGCACCACCAGGATTCGAAGTCCGGACACTTTGCAGGTCTGGCTAACAGCACCTAAGGGCAGGCACTTGGCCTTATCTTTAACTTGCCTCAATTTGGTGCTCAAATGAATGTCTGACTTGAACTCCAAAGGAAATCATCTACAATTAAAAACTAGACTTACTCATTGAGCTCTGCCCACTCAGAGAACTCCGAAGGCTTTCGACAGATCCTCCAGCTTTGAGCTTGGGCTTGTCCATCTGTTCTGAATCCGGCTTTACTGAGACAGGAGAGCAAGGCATTCCATCAGGCCCCGAGTCCTGAAATAGTTTCAATAAAATTAAGTTTCAGGAGTAGACAGGTGATGCTTTTTAATGCTCAGCAATTTGATCCTCAACTTGATCAACCAAATCAGTCTTTATAAGTATACTTGATCCCATATATGGTATTTTTATTCTTAGCTGTATCATTGCTTACCTTTAAATCAGTAGCCCATAGTATTTTTTCAGATAGCATCTCTCTGTAGTCCCAGCTGGCCTAGAACTAGCTATGAAGATCAAGCTGGCTTTGATCTCACAGAGATCTACCCGGCTCTGCCTCCTGAGTGCTGGGATTAAAGAAAGGTGTGCATCACAACGCCTGGTCACAGTACTATTTATTAAGTACCAAGAATTGTTTTCAAGCTCAAACAGCCTTAAAATTCTGGGGAAAATTAACTATCTACAATATGGAAAAATAGCTAAAGGCTTAGAATTCAGCACACTCAACAGTTCAGAAACAAGCTAGACTTCAAATGTAGGTCAAATACAAGCCACTATTAACATTAAAACATTTAGGAGTATAATCAGAGGGTTATTTGATCAACTTTAAATGGAAAGCATTTACACGGGGGAAAAAAAGTATATTCCTTTGGAAAATAACTGACCAGATTGTTTCTATTTTTATAAATTGTTGAAACTAAGTGACAACCAACTTAAGACTTGGATATATAGAAAAATATTGTTATTTAGTCTACAACAAAGTTTACATATTCCAGAATCACCCCTCTTCTACAGTGAGAACCACTGTCATAAACTGAGTATGCACAGGCGTTTGAATCCAAGCACAGGCAGCCAGCTAGTTCAATGAGGGGAACAGGAAGCTACTTGGTGTTTAGCCACCAGGGGGCAGCAGCTGAGCAAAAATGTCTGCTTTCCCTGCTGGTTTTGCTGGTTAGCTGGAGCAGCATTCCTCGTGAATTTCAAGCAGACAACCAGCTTATACATAGGTTTTTAACAGGTTGTGAAATAAGTACCATAAAGATGCCAAAAAGGTTTTTAACTCCAAAGGTCAAAATTCTTTCAATGCCCAGATCTCCACGTGTTTTTATTCCTTTTACCCATGTAACTAAGACAGAAACTGGACACGTTGCCAGTGATTTTTTTTTTTAATAGAATCGGGTGAAGCATCAATTCTGTGATATCGTATTAATTACATATCCTGCCATTTAGTGAGAGCACCGTCCCCTCACCCCAACAACAACCCGATGACTGTTGAAATCTAGTTAGCTAATAGTCAGGAAGCATCTAAAATTCCTCCTCACACTTCTAGAACAATGTATGCTACCCCTGAAAAGTCTGCTGTCTAAGGGCACTTTTAAAGAATGCATCTTGTGGCAGATATTTTATAGTACTTTAGAAAAGAAAATCTTCCCTCTTTGTTCAAATGAACACACTGTTTTCTAGTGCTTACTGCACTACTGATTTACTTTTTATTTTTTATTTATGTGACCATTTCTTCTTTCCTCTGGATCTAGAAGGCAGGCTGTGATGGTCAGTCTTAACTGCCAAACTTGACAGGATTTAGAATCACCATAGAAACAGAACTCTGGGCCTTTCTGTGAGGGATTTTCTAGATTAACTGAGGTGGGAAGACCCACCCTAAATATGGGTGGCAGCCTTCCATGGGCTGAAGTCTGGTCCCGCATACAGAGGAGAAACAGAGCTGAGCGGCAGCATCTTTTTGTCTGCTGCCTGCCTGTGGATGCAATGTGACCAGCTGACTCCAGCCCCCGCCTGCCACAACAGACCATACCCTTGAGCTGTGAGCAAAAACAGACCTTTCCTGAAGTTGCTATTGTAAGATATTTTATTGTAGCAACAAGACCTAATACACAGGATACCTAATACACAGGGTCTATATTTTACATCCTTAGCACTAAGCGTAGTGTCTGGGCAGCCTTACATGCTTAACAAATGTTTCCTGAATTTCATGTTTGTCTGCATAAATACAGCTTGGTCTACAAGTGGGTTAGCACCGAGGGACACACACGCTCAGCACCATTCAAAATCCCACATGGAGCATCTTTAGTAAGAACCAGGGTCTTTCAGTTGTGGGCCACACACCTGCTCAGACACAGAGCTGCTGTATTTTTTGGACATTCTTTTCCTCATTGTTTCTTTCACTGATTTCACCTTTTTTCCAAGAGAGATGCGGGAGGCAGTAGGTGACTTGATAACCTCTTTGTACACAATATCTCCTTCTTTACCCTGCAAAACAGAACATAAATACCATTAATCCCAGAAAATAAATGCTAGAAACAGGTTTCTTACTCAAACCATTAAATGTCCTAGGTCTCAGAGAAATATTAACATTCCCCGAGATCTTCACATTTTTCTTCTGTTAACCTAAGGCTGTTATTTATCTTTTCGATTAGAAATTAAAACCTACTAAGAGGGATTTTGTTTATCTGTTTATTTTGGGGCATGAGGTACTTTTTATTTTATTTAAACTTAGTACATGCTTCTCCAATTATGGCTTTTCCCACCATTTTAAAACACTCAAGGGTACTGCATTTTATTAGTGAAGAGAGATTTACAGGCAGCAGTGTTCAGGTGATCCCAGCAGTGGGAAGAAGGAAGGGAGGGATCCAGTCCCTGAATCACCCAGGAGAACAGCACCAGACTGCATTTTTAACACTGTAGTGTTTAGTGTGGCCAACTCCAGAGTAGGTATAAATTTCCTTTCCTGAACAAGGTAGATTGTGGCCATCTCTCTATTTTGCATTGAAAAACAAACTTTTCCATGAAAGGAGAGGGGAAAAAACCTTTTTTTAATTTTTAAATTTATTTTTAATTAATTAATTTATTTTTTAGTTCATTATTTTTATTTTATGTGAATAAGTGTATGGCTTGCATGTGTGTAAGTGAATCCGTGTTGTGCAATGCCCGTGGAGGTCAGAAGAAAGGCGTTGGATGCCCCAGAACTGGAGTCACAGATGGTTATTAGTTGTCATGTGAGTGCTGGCAATCGAACATGGATTCTCTGCAAGAGCAGTCAGTGCTGGTAACTGCAGAGCCATCTCTCCAGGCCTCAGATGTGTATGCGTATACTGCCTGCATGTAGGTAAGTGCACCCGTGTCATGCAATGCCCGCGGAGGACAGAAGAAGCTGTCAGATCCCCTGGGACTGGAGTTATAGACAGTTGTTAGCTGCCACGTGGATGCTGGGATTCTAACCCGGGTCTTCTGCAAGAACAGCCAGTGTTCTTAACCTCTGAGCCATCTCTCCAGCCCCGGGGGAAAAAAAAACTTTTATGCTTTTAATGATTGACAACATAAAATTAAATCTTCCAGGAAATTCTATAATACTTCATATTTCACAGATGTGTATTTTAGCAGACATGTGATCATAACAACTCTAAAGCATGAAATCTTCATTTCAGAGTTCTAAGACAAAATACATAAGAAGTAAGCAAAACCATGTAACGCTCACCTACTCCCTTGGGGCCTGAACTCTAGGAAACTGAGACTGCGTACTGCAGTAGTGGCCTGGCCCTTGACCATGACCCCAAAGCAGATCTGAGGAGACATTAACCTTGGCCATGGGGGTAGGGGATAGTTGATTTTCTTTGACACTGAGAAAACTGGGCTTGTTTCAGGATACCCCACAGCTGAACAACCTAGGCTTAATGCAGATCCTGAAAGTCTACATATTGGGCCTACAATAAAACTGGCCATTGTTTCCCAAATTACAGGGTTCCATCCAGTTGTACCATGTATCATATGTGAACCTGTAATGAGTGTGAAGAGAAAGTTCATGGACACAAATGACTAAGACTATAGAAGCCAAACTCATCCAGGGGATGTGTTACTTGAAGGACACTGGAAGCAAAGGTATTAAAGAACAGTATTGCTTCAAGGAGATGGGGGCCATTGGTGGGTAACATTCATTCCATTTGGAATAGTGAAACATCTCTATCTCTTTCCAAATATGATTTGGAATCATTGTGCAAAATCAGTATCACTCCTCCAAAATAGTAAATAGGAAACTGTTGCCAAACATGTCACTTGCATCCAGACTGGTTGCTCCCCTCTACTCACCACAGAGTCAGAATTATTACTGCCAACATGTAGAGAACGATTTGTCAGGTCAAATCCTCCAAAACTGCAGGTCCTCTGTGGAAAAAGAGAGGACAGGGTGGGAATAACCCAGTTACGTTTATGTCATAGCCACGTACGACCCAACACGTGTCCCCTGTGCGGAACATCTCTGAATCACAAATACATGTACAGGATGGAAGTAGGGAACGAGAAATGACGAGGGAAAAACGTGATTCATGTCATAAGGAAACCTCACTTTGGGTTTTCACAGACCATTGGAACTTTACCTACACCAGGGGTCTAGAATCCCCTTAACATGAAAAGGCAACTATTCTAGGAAAACAAACAAACAAACAAACAAACAAAAAACCCAGCCAACCAAAAAGCCCTCCGATACATTTAGTGTCGTAAGATTCCCTCTCTGCACATAACTCTGTTTTCAACAACTCTTACTCTCAGTGTTGCCCAGTGGTGAAAAGAGAAGAGCATCACTTAGTTGTCTTGAGAGCTCTGTGCTCTGCCACTGTCAGAAGGCCTTTCTGGAAGACTTCTGTTTTGTTTAGTTTTATATTACCGAGAAGAGAGAAAAGAGGTTGTGTTTACAGTAGTCCAATCAGGCCAAGAAGGTTGCTCACTCACTACCCCCTTTCCTGGCTAAAAATGCTGATAACTTTCCCATCTAACTGCTCAACTTAATGAATTATAACTCTTATTTTCTCACAGTGGATAAAGTGAATTTACCCAGAAAGAAAAAGGCTGATTGAATAACTGGCATTGACCACACTCTCTGGTTTCAGTAGGAAAAAAAACACTGTTGTAAAGACGAATGAAAATTTTATTGTCCTTTTAGTTGGTTTCAAACTTTGTGAAATTGCTTATATTTCAGTGATTTTGTGTTTCCAAAATTGGATCCAATTTCTCTTGTTTTTCCAACAAAAATCACTCAATGCCCACACTTGTGCCCTCCCCCACAAAGCCTACTAATCTTTGTTGTAACTAATGCTTTTAAAAAATTGGTAATAAGAATTGAATAACAGATCTGGGCTCCACGCTTTGTGTTTCCTGCTTCTCAGAGAACCCTAAGAAGAGCTACTAAATGGAAGAAATGGACAGAAAAGTACAATGTACGTTATACATTGCTCCTTTTAAATCCATATAGCTCAGACATGTATTAATGTACTGCATCGAGAAAGTAGAAGCAATTTGGGAGGAAAATGACTGGGCTGTTGACATTGTACAAAGAAGACAGATCTAAAGTTCTGATTCTGCTACTTGCTTGCTGTGTGACCACTGCTCAAGTACTAAAACTCTCTGAGCTTAGGATTCTGCACTGGTGAGAATCTACACAGTCTCAGTTCCCTAGAGTTCAGGCCCCAAGGGAGTAGGTGAGCTTTACGTGGTTTTGCTTACCCCTTATATAACATCCTACACTTGAAGACCTCAGCACACTTCCTGGCATAAAGCAGATGCTGTGCATATTAATTTCTTAATGTTCCATTTTGGTTCTGCTGAGAGCTTGGAAACTTGTCTTGACAATTGTTATATTTCAGGTTAGGCTTAGTCAAGATTATAAATATGGAAACGAGGGGCTGGAACACCATTCTGGGCTTTACAATTTGGAGTTGAATTGTAAAAAAAGAGCATCCCAGGAGCTGCACCGGGAGGAAGCAGCTGTGACATGTGGGAAAGGAAGGTATTCAGAGTCACCGCCCTCTCAGGATCGTAGAGCTGTTGCTCTTGATATTCCCTGTTGCTTTTGCTTTCAATAATCACTGCTTACTTGTTTTCCAGTGGCTGTTAGCTCAATTTTATATTAAATGTCAGCAAGTCCTCTTTCTTTATAGTCATCTTAACTGGACCTGCATCTCTTTACAAAACCAGTCACCAACTCGCCTAACTGGAAAGCAAGATTATAACCACTTCTAAAGGCAAAGTTTTAACATTAACTTTCCTTTTCTAGCTTCTGAAGCCAAATAAATTTGCTCAATTTTGCAAAGGCAGGGACTTCATTCCAGTTCCTTTCTTGTGCCTCAGGGCTGCACAGGATGGCGCCCAGATGCCTGATCACTTTATGGCTGTTGCACGTCCCTGCCTTAAATGACAACATTTCCTGCAACAGTGGAGCCCAGCATGCTTTCTCTGATGCATATGAAATAACTCACAAGGAATTTATGTGGAAACTATGACTGCAATAAATTAGAAGCTTATTTAAGTTTTCACACGCCTGCTGCATGCATTTATGCCTAAAATAAAGAGCTTAAGGAGTGGGCTGGTTTCTATAATCATCAACGAAAACTTTTCCCAGTGACATGCTAAGATATCCGAAACTGATTCTTTTTCATCAATGGAGGGCAAATAAGGAATAGTAATAAACACTACTTGGATAAATCTCCAACTTCTTTTAGTAAGGTCAATGGTTCTCAAAACAGCACTCCTTCAGAAGGGAAAATGGGTTATAAAAAGAATAATAATAACAATAAGAAAGCAATCTTTGAACTTTGGTGAGCTAAACAGATGAATCAGGACATTTTTAGTTCAATCACCTCTTGTATGGATAATTATAAAAACATTTTTGATTGATGCTTGGGATGAGGAGGATGATGAGTTGATGGGATGGACATGCAGCTGAGAACATGTTTGGGGATTGAATTTAAAAAGGGACAAGATTCCAAAATGTCATGCATGTCTGTTTTCCCAAACAAAAATTGAATGAATAAAAATAAAAAGTAAGACACATAGCTGTTTACAGTGAGAACAAAGCATTATCATTTCCATGAGATTTCTTCAAGCAAATATGGCATTTTTGAACGACAAAAAGATCAAGTTTGAAGATTAAAGCAAATTGCACATTTCGGGGTAAAATGAAGGAAATATGTATGACAAAGAGACTGGAAAAGAGCTTTTTGAATGAAAGAAGCAAAGAAACAAGGTTAAGTCTGAATAAAAACAAAACCCAGAGCTGAGGGTGTAGTTCGGAAGTAGAGGACTTGCTTAGCATGCACGAGGTCTTAGGTTTGAGTCCCAATTCCAAAATAACAAATCTAAACAGCAATTTAAAAAAACCTCCCATTTCTTTTTATTGATAAAACACTTATTTTCTCATAAGTAATGAGAAAATTAATTTTTTATAATTATACAGTTGTACTTACAAGTCCAGCCATGTGCAAATTCCTAATTTAGCATAGAACACATTACTTAGCAGGTATTAAACTGACCTACTGACTTAAGCTCATAGCATCTTAAACGTACCCAGCTCAGGCAGAACCTGAGGGTAGTGATTACACAGCACCATCTTTAGTGAATGGTGTTGAAACTGGGAGGCAAGGTGGCCCAGAAGTTCATTCTCAAAGTCAGTGAAGAATTAAATGTTGGCCAGTAATGTTCATTAACAGAAATCTTAGAAATACAACTCCTTTAGAAACAGTTTGTTGAAGTTAGGTTATCAATCTATCTGGCAATAAATAAAAGGGGAGGTGTTTGAATAACTCAATCTGCTCACACTGGGTAAGTCTGCAGCATTCTATGATTCTGATACACAAAGGTAAGCCACCAGTTCATAAGGAAGCAGTTCTATCATGTCAAGGACATGTCAAAAGGCAGATGAACTAGGTTCAACTCTTCTGAAGGTTTAAAAAAAATAGCATTAAGTCTAATGTCTAAGATCTGGAACTCAAAGACCAGAGGGTGAAAAAGAAAGAGTGACGAAGAGAATTTTGTGATCTCAAACCAAAAACACATCAGTGAAAAACAGTTCCTATGATGCAGAAAGCCAGAAGGAAAGTTTTCTCTACACATTAATAGCATAAAAAGTATTGCAAGGATTATAAGAATGAGAAAAGATAGAAAATAAAATCTAGGATGGAAGTCAATGCATGTGGGACTATTTAGAAAACTCAAAAAAGCTCAGAAAGACCCAAAGATCCTCCGAGAACAGAGAAGGTCATTCGAAGGATGGCATTGGCTGCTCCGTCTTCATTTTCACAAAAGCAGAACTTGATTGCATGAATTTAAATTACAGTTATAGTGTGGGGAAGAACATCCTATTCATGAATGTGAGGGGACCCTGGGAAAAGCAGCCATGGAAGCGTATTCTTCTCTAAAGGTTCTTTCAGACCTTTCAAAGGGGCTCTGGGCCAGCGGCCCCGGGAGGATTAAGCAAGGTGCCAGAGCACAGCCGTGCCAGGCCCGCCTCACTCTGTCCCCTTTTACACAGGCCATTGTGCAAGTTCCAAGTTAGGTGGGAATTCCGAGGGGAAAATATCTATACTCTCAAGTTCAAATCAAGTCATGCTCTGAAAGGAAAAACTGTACTAGGTCTCTCTGATCCTTCAGTTTTAAAATTGAAAAACATTTTGTTATTCATAAGTAAGGACTTCTTTGCTGTGCACAAGAGTCTGGTTACAGAAGACACTGCCAAATGCCAATTCCTATTTTTAAAAAGGTAAGACTGTTGAACTGATTTAAATAAAACAAAGGGGCTCTACTTTATATCTTCCCTGTTAGATTTTAAAAGTCCATGACCAGCCTTACTAATAAATGTGCTAGACAATGGTGAGGGTACATTTTCCAAGGGCTTGTTCCTATTGTTTTAATTAACTGAAAAAGTAAGGATCTCTTTCGGGGTGAAATGTCCTTCTGTTTTGAATCAGCTTCTTTGAGGTCAAGTGATGTGATGGCTGGGCACGAAGACAGCCACTCCTAGAAGTTGGCCAAACCCATGTAACCTTCGAAGCTCCTGCGGATCAGCTTGAAGGTTAGTTTTAATTAAAAATGGAAGGGCTTCCGTTGGTGAGACTACACATGGAGAAAAGGAGAAGGCCCTATTGGAGAGAGAAGGGTTAGAGAGCAGAGGTGACAAGGGAATGGACCCTGAGTGATGAAGCATGAAAAGGACGAAGCCAGCTCCAAAGAAGGCCATAATGCTTGACTGCACATCACAGAAATGACAAGGCCCATCTCACCACCGTCCTGGTGACTCACAGACTTCTGGTGGATTCTCAACAGAACCCTTTTAGTACAGCGGTCCACAGTAGCAGCCCACTTCCTTTTTGCCTCCTCATCCTCCTCCAGCAAGCACCGCCTCAGGTCCTGCTTCTCCGCCTTGCTCAGCGTCCTGTCTGAGGCAGGTCGCACGAGCTGGGTCAGGTTCAGGTGGCTGTAGAGGCTCCGCTCCACCACGTAGGTGATATTGAACTCGCTGACCGAGGTGCGCCCGCGCCCCCTTCTGCCTGGGAAGCCGCAGCCGCCCCCCTTGGGCTTCTGCCGGGGCAGCTGCAGGTCGCAGGTGGTGCCGTTCACTCCTTTTCTGGAGGGACGCTGGCAGAGAAAAGCTCTGGAACAGGAATAATTAGTATCCGTTTTCTTCAAGCGGATTTGCTTCCGGACACTCTGAACCTCCTCCAGGGACACCAGAAAGTGATGCCTACGCCGATGGTTGTCATAGAAGAAAACACCATCCGTACTTACCCCGTGGCTCAAGGACCCAAGACCTTTCTTCATCTCCCCCTCCGTGAGGGAGCGGGATACTTTCTGGGCTTTTTCTTCTTCTGGATAGGAAAAGAATGTCCCCATCTTCTTAGGTGGTTTAATCAGGCCCCGACTTTCTCCTTTGCTGAAGGTTTTGACCAACTTCCGGCCAGCTCCCCAGGTATCCAGGCTGCTAGATGATGGAGACGTGGTGAGAGAGTCTGTATCGTCTTCTGGAGGTTTCTCAGGAGAGCCATCATAGAAAAATGGCTTCTTGTGCACTCCAGAGTATAGGGCAGACCTTTCATCCAGGACTGGTGAATTCTCAAACACCTGCTCCTCTCCACCTGGAAGAGAAACAAGGGTGTCCTATGAGTGAGAGTCGCACAGACGGTTGTGTAGACAAGCTAGCACAAGGGAATTGGGGAGCTCTCCTTGCCTGCACTATGACCTTCTTCAGACTACTCAAAGAAAATAAACTGCTAGTGTATAGTTTCATGCAAACTTAACTTTAGAAGTTTGTGATGTGCTTGGGCCTAACTACTTGAGAAACAGAGGATTAAAATTCAAGGCTAGTGGAGGCAACTTGATAAGACTCTGTCTCAAAAGAAAATTAGTTGGCATGTCGGTTCATGCCTGTAAACCCAGCACTTGGGAAGTAGAGGGAGAAGGATCAGGAGTCCAAGGTCATCTGCTAAATATAGAGTTCAAGGTTGAACTATAGGAGGGCTGGGGATCTAGCTCAATGGTAGGGCACTTGACCAGCCACTAGCATGCATGAGGCTATGTGTTCCATCCCTAAAACGTAGAACCCCAAGGCTGTGCAAGCATACACACACACACACACACACACACACACACACACACACACACACACACACACACAGAGCTTGTGATGTCATTAACTCTCCTTCCAAACAGCTTTGCAGAGCAACATCTTCCCTGACCTATTAAGAAATGCCATGCAAAATCAAGGCCCATCATTATCATGATATATGCTAGCATTTCAAGATAATTGCCTCAGTTTGTAAGTGCAATCCTTAGAAGCTAGGATCGGTCTTCCCCTCCTACAAGGCCTTCCTTTATGTCAACTCTAGTGGCTTTTATAGTTGGAGTGTGATGAATGTGGCAGACAATGATTTTGTTTTATTGGTACATATGCCATTTAAGTGATTAAATCTCCAAGAGAGTTTGGGTGGGGAAACACCATAAAGGGTTATACTTGCAAATGTGATTGACAAATGGTCTCCAGTTGACTGGCCAAACACAAAGAGCTAGGGAACTGAGTGATCACAGCCAGATAGTCCCATCCACCCAGGCCCTGGAAGAAGAAGCAAGGGCATTTAAGGGCCTGACACGCAAGCAGCTCACTAAATGTTCCACTTTGGCTCAAGGCTTCCAGGCCTTGAAGCCCTCCCCGGGGCCAGGTAGTGAGCCAAGCTCTCTGGAGCCCAGTGGAAAGGCCTGGACTTGCTGGCAGGAGAACCAAGTTTTTTTTGTTTTGTTTTTTTTCTGTGTGTGTGATGTGAACAGATGTGAGGGAAGAAGTAGGTCAAGCTGTGGGTGTAGTGATCCCAACCGACTGTATCCCTTAATTATAAGGAAACACTGGAGACTTGCAGCTTTCCACCAGCTGAACAGTGGAAAGGAAAAAATACGAAGTTCCTTGGAACAGAAGGATGCTACTAAACACGTAAGCTGGGACAAAAGTGTCAATGAGTGGTCAACTGTCAGAGAAAAAGAGAGAGGGGAAGACGATTGAGATGGTCCTCAGCCTTAGAAGATTCTAAAAATGGCTACCTTTTTTAATTAATGGGCATGACAAAAGAAAAAGCCTTCTGCTATGAAATCCCACTCAAGACCAACTTCACATTCATGTCTAAAAATCAGTGGTAGGGAAGGGAGGAGGGTGGAAAAGGAGAGTCAGACTGTGTCTAGTCCCAAGTTCACTGAACTGTTTGAGGATCTTTCAAAGCAAGGTCCGTGGTCAGACAGGATTTGGCCAGACCACAAACAGTGCACAAATACTATGGATGTTTCCTGATCCCTTCTCAAGACACCTGACTAACAGGTATGGAGTCAAATGGCACTCACATTGTTCCAAGTAAATACAACTTCTACAGACAGGATGCTTTCTACTTCCAGGAAGAAGCAACTGGGCTAAGACTCGGGGCCCAGCCTGGTGGCAGGCAGCCCAGCAATAAACTTCTGCATCAAAACAGCTGAACATAGTTATGGCCTCTGTTAAGTCTAGGTGGTACAGGCATGCCAGAGGCCTTAGCAATATGGTCCTGAGGGGTTTTGAGGAGGCCTGGTGGCCTTTTCCCAGTTACTCTAAGGACCTGTCACTCAGCAGGGGTTTGAACATCTGCAGTGTGTTCAGGGTTGTCCTCAGCAGTTCCAGCACCTCTGTCACATGTGGGCCTAGAACTAGCCAGGAGGCATATGTTCATGACATGTGTGGCCTTATTCTGTGACTCTGGAAAGGCAGTGCCTAGAAAGGAGGCTTGGAAGGGAATATGGGAAATGTTTCCAAAGAGGCTGCGTCAGCCTTTGTGAGCAGGCCTTGGAGTGCAGGCTTTACTGTCCATATCTGACGGGAGCCCAAACACCCAGCCCTGACCTGGGCTGGGCTTCTCTCATCCATCTCTAATCAAAGATACAACTATGCTACTGCAGGCGTAATGACCAAGATGAGCTCGCTCACTCGATCTCATTGTGTGACCTCCCTCGCAATGACCTTTATCTTAATGCAACTGAGATCAGAATGCCTAAGGAAAGGTGATTCTGACAAGAGGATGTGGAGCCACTTCATGCCAAGGACACTGCTTTCCATAAGTTCTGGCCTCTACCCCTGGTTCCACCCTCACCGGCTCCATCACTCTGGGCAATGACTTCTCTCTCTGAGTCGCATCAGTGATAAACACCTACCTATCTTTACATAATACTCCAATAAGGTTATTTTGAGGGTAAGTGACGAGAGACATGCAAAGGTATTTCACATGCTGAAAGGTACCACTGATGATTCTGTATTGGCTTAGATGAGCCTGTACACTGTGTGGGAGGAGCGCCACATCTAGGGACAAGACATAGAAATGGGCACACACATGACCTGTGTTAAACACTCTCCAGGGTTGCCATGTCAGGGAATGGACTGGAGAGCCAAGGTAAGATGGGAAGAGGAGGTGAAGAGCTCTAACTTTACTAGATCTTCATACGGAGGCAGGTGGCCCGAGATGAATTCTAGATGACTGGCTGGGTGACCCTGAGGAAATGATTTAGCTTCTTTATCTCAGTTTCCTTATTCATGAAATGAGATAAGTGCATGCTTCTGGTGGGTATTCTAGAGACAGCAATTAAAAGGGAACATAAATTCTCAAGCGTGTAGGAAAAGCATCGTATGTAAAATGCATCTCAATAAAGGATTATCCGTCACCTTAGTACAGGCACAGGCATGCAGGAAACCAGTGACATGATCAAATCTCTGTAAGTCCAAGGGCAATGGAGAAGAGGAGCACCTCACAACTGAAACAATCTGTCCCAATTCCCAGTTTTTCTGCCAGTAGGAACCTCATTGTACAGGGAATGGAGGTGGTTCCAGGCTAGGAAGATGTTGGGGGAAGCTCGGAGTAGACACCCTGAGTTACACATACCCGGGTCCTCTCCTGGTGATATGAACAAGCTAGTCAATGACCTTACTCCCCCAACTCATCAGAGACTAGACTGTGACTCAAGCTCTTTCGGCCCACCTTCCTCTGTGATACCCAGTCCATATTCAGATGAATTTATACCTCATTTGCTATATTTTTTGCCAACTTTTTCCCAACAAGGTCTCTCAGACATAGTTGAACTGATATGTTCTGCAAATTAGGATATTTCAGTAGTATAGAATGCATATAAGTGCTAAAGCTGTCTCAAGACACTTGACTATCACGGGTGAAGGGGACACTGGGTGATGGGCTAAGTATAGGGCTCCTCACTCATTTTAGCTCACTGATGGACAAAACCACCATTCTGTTTGTTGTAGCTGATATTTGATTTCGCATCTGTGAAGCATGAGGTCTGCTTTACAAGGAGGCCTCAAGGCTGAGAACTGGTGATTCCATGAGGCTCCTCTACAACTGCTACTCTCTGTTCATATTTCAGGAAGACCTGCCATCATATGGGGAAACCACAGTATATCCTGCACTGTGGAAATTATAATATGAATCAACATCACACTTAAGTGTAAAGAGAATTACCACACCAACACTCAAATGCAACCCCAGACTTAAAGGTAACTTCATGAAGTTACCCATTAAGATGACTTTATCTTGGTATCCCCTTTCCCCCCTTCCATCCCCTCTTCCTCCACAACTATCATATCATCTTCAATTTTATACTAAAAACTTAAACCAATAAATAACAATAAACAAAATTAGAAAGTATCAATAATAAGCCCTTACCTCTGCAAATAATGGGAAATTCATTTTCCTGTGTACAGCTTGGATTTATTTATAAAGAACAAGTAGGCTGTATAACAATAATTTAAAACCTTGCATGTTAAAATTTTGAAATTCTTTATGCTACACATGTGATATTTTAACAAGTAATATCTTTCTTAATGAAGGCTTTCCAATTTACTTACTATCATTTTATAAACAGGAAAATCTTCTGCCAGGGACAAGTTTGAGACAGAGTCTTAGTGTGTAACCCAGGCTAGCCTCAAACTTACAGTTCTCCCACCTCAGCCCCAGGAGGGCTGGGATTATAAGCAATATAGGTGTACACCACTACACCCACCAATCTTATGCTTTATTTAATCTTTCTTGGGAGAATTTTACAAGATGTTGCAAATGCATATTATTAGAAATGGAAATGAATAAGGTGGAGATTTAATTGTCATAATTATAATGCAAAGGTTACTATTCATTTCAATAATCGCCAGCTGATGGATGACTGATGACATTACTGTTTCGTTTTCCCAGCCAGCAATACAGCTCTAAAACATCGCCTTAGAATTGAAGGTCCTTAAAGCCTCTTTGGAATTGAGACTTGAAATTGTTTACTGGAAGAACGACTCATCCCTGAGGCTTTGAAGGGATATTAAATGCCTTGATTGTCAGTTGGTTTTACAAGATGGATGCACTGTGTATCAAATTTGCACAAGATCCATTGCATTAAAACTCAGTCCTCCTTGGAAGAAAGGCTTATGCTGAGAAGTTATAAGGTTTAGAGAAAGCCTTGCAAGCTCATAATTAAAGCTGTACCACACCTTGAGATTTCATCATGAGAGCCTAACCATTTCCTATCTCTGTCACATTTGAATTACTAAGTGCCTGAAATGCTTGACACTAGGATCCTTCATTCTGTAACATGCCAAGCATCACCCTGCTGGCACACGGACAACTCTGTTGGCCCCAGCCAGAACGCAATCCATTTCCCACTTGAAATCATACTCTGTTTCTACTGAAAGACAGATCCCGAGTGATTTCTTTTGGAAGAACAAGGGTGGGTTTTGCTTTATTTTATTTTACTTTATGTTTTTTACCTTCAGTGCTTGGCTTTTTCATTTCTTCCACCCTAATTAGTTTCTTTCTGACTCTGCGAGTGGAGTTAACCAGCTTGTGTAACCTCTTAAACTTCACCGACTCCTCGGTCTCGTCATCCGATTGTTCTCTTGACTGGCAAAGAAAGAGAGGAACAGTTAATCAGATAATTGTCCCAGAGCTTGCCCTCCCAGCTGCCACAGCTGGCTTCTCTACCAGTCCAAACAGCCAAAGCTCTGCCGCCAAACTTGGGGCATCAACAAATTTATCCAACAGGTTTACAAAGCCCCACATACCATCTGAAGATCTAATTCGGCAGAGAATTAAATCCTAGGGGCAAAGCACACGTCCTTGCCCTTGATTACCACGGTGCTGTTCACTTCATCACTGTTGGTCCTATTTCTTTCAAGCCAACTCGGGCAGGACTTTCTCTCTAAGCTGGCCCTGTAATTCCAGTTACACTGCTGTGGTTTGGGTCAGGCTCTCCTCTGTCTGGCCCATCAGGACTTGCTGTTGAACGTGGTCATCAACCACTTCTCCAAACCAAAATTCTGTTGACTTTTTCCAGTTCCCCCCTTCCCCAAATCAAAACCAGCAGGCAGGAAAGGGGAAGCAATGCACACCCCCACCCCTAACAAAAGTCTTCTCCTTTCCTATTTGTTGGGACTGCCTGGCACATCTCAGCCATCCCTTCCGCCTCCCCCAGCTCCTTCTGAGGGCTCACAGGCTAGGCTGAGGACAGCCCGCATTCCTCCCAAGGAGACAAGGGAAAAAGCTGACCTTTACAGCCATACAGTAACAGTCCATATTCCCCAGCAGCCCATTCCATTTTGCAGCGATTCAAGTGTACTCTGGCCCAGCTGTTTTCCCTCAAGTATCAAACATTACAGAGGGGAAAAAAAATTTTCTCTCCACAGCAGTGACCCAGGCTAAAAACAATCCTTTCCTTGTGAACAAAATGAGGGCTTCCTTTCCAAGTCGACTCTAGCATTCAGTATGCAGCGTCCTCTGCTGTATCTGTTCAAAATGTGGAAAAGCAAAAGTTTCCCACTGGACCAGCGTGCTGCATGCTGCACCAGCCGGGTGCTTGGGCCTTTTGGGAGCACAGGACCTTGGCACACCTTGTGCAGCCGGTGAGCAGCCCTAGCTTAATCCCGCACATCCTGACAACTGCATTCCCTCATAAACTTAAAGCACTTATTCTCAGGGAGAGAGATGAGTGGACTTCCGAAACAAAACAAAACAAAAACAAACCGCATCTCAGAATGCGAGACTAATGTGGAGACTTTCCCCAAGAAAGACTCTCCTAAATCCCAATTTTACAGGCAATAAAATAGGCAAGAAAGAGCACAGAACAGCTCAGGAGTGGTGCAGGTCATACATAGGTATGAAAATGGTGCATCTTGTAAGAGAACAAATATTTTCTTAGGGCAATGGTACTCTCCTCTGGATAAACTTAACCCATTTTCTGGACACCTCCTTGCCATGGGGCTCAGAGTATAGAGCCATTGAACTTTCCCTGCCTGATGATTTGCAAACAGTTCACCCATTGATGATTAACTAGTATAAAACTCTCAGCAAATCATCAGGATGGGGTATTCTTCAGTCTTCCTGTCTGTGAGGCAGATCAATATCCTTGTCCAATTCTCTAAAATTCCAATTCTAAAATTCTAAAATTAGTTAACTACTGTCTACTTGACAAAGAATGGAAACTGGACCCTCCCATGCCCCCAAAGGGAAGAAGGAGGTTATGTTAGACAGCTAGCTTTAGTGCATTCGGTTAAAAGGTGCAATGTAAAATAATTAAATAAAACAGTAAGTTTAGCTTCAAATATACAATAGTACTGCCGGGCTTAAATTTCATTTTTACTTGATTGAATTGTTGATGTGTAATGAAAGGAAATGGTTGTAGTGGCCAATCAGAGGCATGAGAGCTTGGTTAACTCTAATTGAGGGTAATGGGCACCTAAATAACCCACAGTGCATGAGTTTATGCAAACGTTTCAAAATACTGCATCTTCCCAATGCTGTTCAAGCACTAGCAATTCAAACAGAATTACCTTTAGATGATACAAAAATCTCTGTATATCCCAATTAAAAAACAAAAAAACTAAGATATAGATCTAATCTTGACATTATAAATTCTGGAGTCAAGTGAAAATTCAAATAAGCACTGATTATTTGTACTGAAGAGACAGGAAGTTGGATTATAGGATAAAAATTAGTAATGTGCGTATGCACCACACCTAGCTAGCTGGTTGTGGCTGTTGGTGGTTTGTGCACTAGGGAGGGGGTGGCATGTGGAGACAAAAAGAAATGGAATATAGAAATCAGTCATAAAAAAATCTTATTCTACAGAAACACAAACCATCTGTAGGAAAGGTACATTTGACTGAACTTTCCAGGGAAAAATGAAAAGAGTCACATCAAGACCCCAGACTGAAAGCCAAGGTCTCTGCACAGAGCCCTCTTTCCTCAGCCTAGATTCACTATGGTGAAAAACAACATATTCCAGGTAGTTTTGAACTGCTTCCACAGGTCCAGCTGCTTTTTGAGGAACGTGAGCTCTCGAGGACTTTGAACTGATGCTATTTCTATTTTTTCTAAGACAATGGAAGTTCTAGAGGTGTCTGCCACTGACAAATTGCAAACCATGGCAACCAAGGCTTCCTCTGTGGCATCCTGCTTTGAACCCTAGACAGATATGATGAAGCGTGATTTATATGATGCAAAATTGAAGATAAAACTGAAGCCATTCAAGAAATGTATGTATATATTATGTATATATGTGTGTGCTTTTTTCTTTTTAAATAAAAAGACTCCTCTATAGTTAGCTAGGAGTTGCTTGAGTTCCACAGTGAATCTTCAAGATTCTCTTTATTGATGAGTAGGGTCAACTGCTCATTTCCTCTTGAGTCCCAAGGTAGAGACTTGTGATATGTTTGCCTTTAAGAAAGTCTTTCCAGTTGTTTTAGCATAAAGATATAAGTAAATGCATTTCTTTTAAACTGAGTAATAAAGTGAATTTTCCATTTTCTATTTCTCATCCAAATAACCATGTGTCACTTCCAAAATGCTAAAAATAGTATTAAAATATGTATCGCATGTCTTTTTATTCAGAAAATTAGCTATCAGGGAAAGGAGTTTGAGAATTTTAAGAATTAAGAACTGTAAAAATATATGTATATAACTTTTTAAAAAATTTATTTTTGAGGCAGGGTGTTGAGGAAATAAATATGATATGTATTCAAAAGAAAATTTCCTACCTGAAGGTTTGTAGAATTGTAGAATATGAAGGATTTATACATTACATGTAAATGAGTCTAAGAAACAGACTCATAACTAACAGGGTTCGCAGAAACAAAGACGGAAAGCCCATGTTTGCACATATTCAAGCACAAGACGGGGCTGCTTCCCATCGTCGTCCCCCGGTGCCCCCGACTCAGACTTCACTCAGGTTTATTGAAGTAAACTTTAGCTTGATCATTCCCTGAACAGGAAGACTGAACTCTCTCAGCTGTATATGCCCCTATCCTAAACCCTCCAGAGAAAAAGGCAACTTACCTCACCAAAAGACGTGGAAAAGTGCCTTTGCAATGTTGTAAATAGAAAACGGGGCTGCTTCCCATCGTCGTCCCCCGGTGCCCCGACTCAGAGTTCACTCAGGTTTATTGAAGTAAACTTTAGCTTGATCATTCCCTGAACAGGAAGACTGAACTCTCTCAGCTGTATATGCCCCTATCCTAAACCCTCCAGAGAAAAAGGCAACTTACCTCACCAAAAGACGTGGAAAAGTGCCTTTGCAATGTTGTAAATAGAAACATTTGATTTCCAGGCCCTCTACTGCAGATTTTTCCACCAGAAAGCCCATATGGCTCAACTTTTAATTACTTTGGCTAATGCTATATGTAGTAATTCTGTGGTGAATGCTTAAGTGTTTCATTTCTGGTTTCCATAGCAACATTACATCAGATTGCAGACAGCTGGCTCCACAGCTTTAAACCATAACAAATTGACCAAGCCAAGGCACAAAACTATAGCTGCTTTAAAGAGATAGCACAGCATTCTGCTGCTAGGCGCTGAATTGGGAGCCTACGGGACCATTTGGCATGGGCAGGAGGGTGGAGCCTCCTTCCTCCCCAGCTTCTCTTGGAACAAGTGCATCCTTGACACATCTGCAATGTTCTAATGGGAAAGCCATGGAGCCAGCGTGGAGAACTTTTCACAACACAGCTACATGTAGGATGATCAGAAAAAGGAAACAAAGTTAATCACATCTATAAATAGAAAGATTTGTGTGCTGGCGCACACGTCAAGCATCCTTTGCTGATCATCGTAAGCCTGTCACTGCTGCCCAAACAAACAATTCCTACAACTATGATGTGCAGAATAAATGGATTCTAAATGCCTAGTGGCACAATAGCAAACAATGTGAGGAAATAAAGATTAACCCATACTTGCAAGGAGCAACCAGACCTTCTAAGAGAACTACTCAGGACCGTCCTGAGCACAGGATTACAGCTGAGTCCTTCGCAGAATCACTCGCTCAGCTTGCTTCCCCAGTGCCAAACCCATGACACGTTGTCACAGTTAATAATCAGAGCAACCAAACTAAGTCACCTTATCCCCTCCAGTGCCATACAACATCATAAGATATATACATTTCTGAATTTTTCAATTATAAATATATATTTGCTTGAGAAAGTCACAACACAGCTTCTTTTGAATCCAGCATATAAGAGGGCAGACATGCTTCAATTTCCTAGGACCACCCTGATGCAGCATTGATCTTAGAAGTTATCAGGAGGAGGGAGCCAATCAATTGTAGATTTATGAAAAACAAGGCAGAATGCCATCTGGATTTAAGTTTTTCGCATGAAGTCAGCACTGTTCACAGCAGAGTGCCAACCCGTGCACACTCGTTCTCTCCATTCCCAAAGTAATATTTAGTAGTCTCCAAAAGTTATGCATGGTGACTAGGTGAACCCACTGGGTGAGAATGCTCGGGGATAGAAGGCAGGGAAGTAACCAGGAGAACAGGGACAAATCTAGAGGAAACTGAAGAAGCAAAGAGCGATGCATCTTAGGCAGGAACAAGCAGAAGCTTTTTCTCGAGGCGACAGAAAAGTTTTCTT